TAATGGTCAATAGGGTAGATGACAAATTTTTTAAAACCAGTTATAACTGTTCGTATACCTCTACTATAACTTTAAAATATGATATTTCAGCAAAATAAATCATATTATTGCAAATTTATGCAATTTAAATTGTAGATTTTTATTCTAGCGCCAAAACGCTGTTTTGTGTCATGGCGGCGTCTGTGACGTCACAGTCCTGACAATTATAAAAACATCACCCCAGCGTAAATAGTTTAAAAGATTTCGTGATGAACTATAACTACCGTAAGTGGTGCTCTACCATGGAGTACACTTTGTCGTGGTGTAGGGCTCAGTAGTCACATTCGAGTCACATTTTTCTGTGGCACAGCTAAGTATCCCAGGCGGGTAAATCTAGTTCCAAGGATGCTGTATCATTCAAATGCTTCATGGAGTAGAGAAATCCAAAAGGGTTTTCGACGATTGCTCATTAAACGTAATATAGAAAACTATATCGACATGAGTACCACATCTTTCACGCACGTTAACTCCTGAGGCGTGCTGTAGACGACAATTCGGACAACTTCCGAATTCTATTGAGCCATTTGCCGATAGAGTTTCGACTAGACTAGACTAGATCATGACTTGTTAAATGTGATAAAGGAGACTTTATCGACACTAGTACTCCTTTGGACTCTGAGGGGTTGTAAAAGTAGCTTGATGGTAGGGCAAAGAAAATAATTGTTTTCTTCGTCGACAAATAAGAAAACTGCATACAGCTTTGCGTGAACCGTATGTTGCGGGCAAATTTTGACTTAACTGTGAATAAGTTGCCATCACGCTTAAGAGTCTTCTGTTCGACTGCACCCAATGTAAGGTTCCATAAGAGTGCCCGCCATAAAGACTGTTTCTCTAAAAAAATTTGTTTTAAGAACTACTTTATAAATTTAGACCTTTATCTACAAAATGTTCGTAACAGAAAACTCTTAAAGTGGACATAGCTTACTGAATGATCTCCATATGATAGCTTCGATGACCTAAAAACAAAGCATCTTAAGTACACATTCCTTTTAAATAACTACATTTCTTGTAAAAAATCTAAGCTTAACTTAAAAACCTACAAGACTTATGGCAGTTTTCTGATGAACAAAAATCTGTGTTTGATGCAAGAAATATTCCCAACATCATTTCATCAATGTTTGGCAGATTTGCTGCTATCAGCATTCGCATACCCACTTTCCATTCCTATCTGGTTTTAAAAACTAAACTTTAGGATAATATAATCACTATAAAAGGAACAAGCACTAAATTAAAAACGTAGACAAACTCTACAAACGCACAGAGGATTAGGATAATGACGTCACGCGCTCTGATTGGCGTTTGATATCACGTGACAAATGTCGTTATTTTTTAATTTTAGTTTTACTAAAATATAATAGTTTCTCATGTACATTACCAAAGAAAGTTATTTTGGGATACCCTGACACCTTACTCTATCTTATGAAACAGAAATTTATTTATTCCATTTCCACTGCCATGTACCCTATTGCACCGTCAAAATTATGTAGGTATCACCAAGGATGCTATATAATATAAAGATTGCTCGATCCCTATACTTGTAATGTTGCCCAAGTTTAAGTCATTTGTGACGTCACCAACGGACCCGGCTGTCAGAATTGACAGTTATAATTTGCTAAGTTGTGAACGTATTTGCATGGACGCCAGGACGCCGATGTGCTGTAACAACAGCCGTGTTTGCACAAAAATCACTAACCCGGAAGTCATTTACCATAACTTCCCTAAAACCGATGGATTAATACGCAAGGAATGGATATGGTGCTGCAAGCGAGATTAATGGACCAGTGTTTCTAATTTAAATGCCTGCCTACAACACCCATTTGAACGTATTTTATGGTAATCCTAAAGGTCGATTCTCATTAGAGCAGCACCCAGCGGCGCGCCGCAGAGCAGCGCGGCGCGTCGCTAGCAGCAAATTGTAGAGGGGTATTCCCACTTAAGCACCATTGGGAAGCGTGACGAAGCAGCGTTTCTGTTTGTGTTCAGTTTAAGGGAGAATGTATTCTTACACGCTCGAAGAAGAGTCATCATCGTCATCATCACCAGATGATTTCATATTTATAGCGGCGCTATGCCATGTATACGACGAAAAAAGAATAAAAAGAAAGCGGACGAGTACAATTAATTTTTCTATTCTTTCTCCGTCCATAGCGAATCTACTAACACACGTAAGCTCAACACAGAAGACAAATAAATGCTTTTCACAAGCCGCAGCACCACGCTGATTTGGCTTCGCTTCTCGATTCCCACTTGTCCGTCTACACGCAGAGCGGCGCGTTTCAAAGCAGCGCCGCGTATTCCAATGCTTCCCGACGCGTTTAAAATTTGCTGCGCTGCACCGCGCCGCTCTGCTCGGCACCGCTCTACCTAGGTGAAAACGGGTCTACTTATTTACATGCGAACAATTGAGAGCAGGTTTTCACCGCGCCGCGCTGCTCGATGCTGCTATAATGGGAATCGGCCTTAATCAAAGCATGCGCTGGTACTGGGTCCGCGAGTGACGTCACTACACGCGGCGAACAAATTCAGTGATCGAGCAATCCTTATATTATATAGTATCCTTGGGTATCACTTAAAGTTAAGCACAACTTAAATGCCATAGAAACGATTGTATTAATACCTAATCGTTGCCATAGATTTTAAGTTCGACTTATCTTTAAGCAAGGCTTAATTTTTGTGGTGCAACTGGACATACTCCTCAATTAATATTAGGGGAAAACTACCACATTTTCCTTGATGAGGATGTGGCATCTCAACCCGACATGTTCATCTTCACAGATGGATCTAAAACCATGGAAGAAACAGGCACTGGCATTTTCTCCAAAGAACTGAACTTCCTTATCACCCAACCACTAGGCAAGCTTCTACCTGTATTCCAATCTGAGTTAGTAACCCTTAGTGCAAGAAAAGTTCTTATGCCATAAAGAACAAAACTATCAGAATCTCCAGTGCCAGCAGGTCACTGTAAAATTACCTCTATGTTGGTTTCCGAATGTCACCATGCATTACCGCTGAATCTTAGAAATTTTCGGTTCAGGCGTTTTAGTGTAACACTCAAAAAATTTTTAACTAAATTGTTTCTATAGTGTTAATGAATTTATGTCTTATGTTAATATTGATTTAGAACCTTAAATTCTGTTGTAGTAGTATGTATAATCATATTGTTTGGCCTTTGACTTGTCCTATATCCGTTTAGGATCTTTTGGATAAATATATTATTATTATTAAAATAAAAAATAAAAAAAAGAGCAAGTAGCAAGCAGCTCGCATGGGTCAAAGGGCATACTGGAATGGAAGGTAATGAGAAAGCCGATGGGTTAGCCCGACTGACCTCAAAACAGGTGTTTTATGGTCCAGAGCCGGCTCTTCCACTTACAGCTGCAACTGTAAACAACTTAATAACTCAGGACACCTAAACCCAGCACATGGCTAGATGGAACATGATGTTAGATTGTCGCGATGCGAGAGAACCCTTCAAAGGACCATCTCGTAACCTGGGGCGTTTTTGCACAGGGCTATCAAGAAAGAACCTGAGGTTAATCGTGGGAATACTTTCTGGGCACAGTAAACAAAACAAACACATGCACCGCATGGGTTTGATAGAATCACCATCTTGTAGTGGAAGTTACACGGACGATGAGACGGCACACCACATACTTTGTTGAATGCCTCGCTCTAGTCCAACTCAGACGATCCATATTAAGGGTGTCCTGACCGGACATGGCTACGATGATTAGAACCGCCTCCCCTTCCAGCATCCTCAGGTTCATCTCACGTGTGGGATGGCTTGATTGACGTTGAGGGGTCGAACGAATCTAGTCAGAGAGGTAGTACAAAGGGCCCGAATTTGAGACGTAGGTACGCGTCTACCTTCCTATCGTAATCCAGAATCAAGAATAGGGCACAAGAATTTGATATCATCAAACATACATTCATTTTATTTCGTTCGTGGCCGTAGACGGAGAGGAGAATCTACGGGTACCTCTAGAGCGCACAGTTCGTGAATACACGACGTGGAGGCTGGGAGTCAAGACCACCAACATTTGTGTGCAGGAGCTATGGGGTACCTACCGTAAGACTTTTTTCAAAAGTTTGAACGGCACAATTCAGTAAGCATCGAGCGCAAATGATTGCCATTATTGCATTATTCCATATCTTCAAAAAAAGGTGGGGCCTAGGAGTCAAGTTGGCCCCCGAGATTTGAGTGCAGAAACTACCATGTAGCGGAAGACTATTTTCAAATATTTGATCGGCACAATCCAATATGCATCGAGCACAACTCGTTAAAGTAGTATTGGAATTTGTACGTTAAAAAAACCGGGGGGTTGAGAGTCAAATTGGCCCCCGAGATTCAAACGCAGAAACTACCGTGTACCGTAAAACTATTGTCGAATATTTGAACGGCACAATCTAATATGCAGTGAGCACAATTGATTGACCTTATTTAGAATTCCATATTTGTAAAAAACGTGGGGGCTGAGAGTCAAGTTGGCCCCCGAGATTTGAGTTCAGGAACTACCGTGTACCGGAAGACTATTTCCAAATATTTGGCCGGCACAATCCAATATGCATCGAGCACAACTCGTTAAAGTAGTAATGGAATTTGTACATTAAAAAAACCGGGGGGCTGGGAGTCAAATTGGCCCCCGCGTTTCAATTAAAAAAAAATTTATTTTCCAGATGAGCACAAATTAAAATGGAATCAGTACAATTTAGCACAACCCTAGCACTATACAAAAATGATCATTACATTTTTTTTTTAATTGCGGGGGCTAACTTGATGGAGCTCTTTTTATTATCAATACAATTTATTTATTTTTTAAGGAGCTGAACTGCAGAACTACTTGCAATATAATCAGTAAATCATTCTTGAAATACGACCCTGTGCGGATCGTGTAGGTATGACTCAAATGGCAAATACCCAGAAATGTGAGTTACATCTTGCAGCCCCCTTTGTGTGGTGATTTTGTAAGGTGAAGCGGGGAAGAAACAATAATATCACCTGCATACAGAATGTTAGTCATCAAAGAATAAACAAGAAACAACCCCCGGTTGTACAGCATCTTTTCCACGAATAACAAAAGATGAGTCATCTGTATTTTCTCCCTCACATTTTACTCACGGTCGCAGTTCCTGTCAGTTCAAACAGTTTTAGGTTATGTAAACAATCTTTATTTTGCCGCTAATTATTAATAACAAATTATATAAGAAGATGCTGGCCGAAGTTAATCAGACTGAAGAATTTACCTCTTTATCAAAACAACATGAAGCTAAACGATTTTACGTATTCTGCCATCACGTATTTCACATAAAACACCAACTGATGTGTTCGATATGGTAACATTTTTAATTTATCGCTTACAGTATTCCACGTTAACCTGATTTACAGCTTAGAGGTATATAATTCACCTACGGAACTCACAGATTGTAAACACGTATTTTGCAAAGACTGCATTGTGGACTGCTGGGAGTATTCCAAACCAAAATCGACATGTCCCGTCTGCCAGAAAGCATTCCAGAAGAATCATATTAAGGAGCATCTGTTCTTTAAAAAGCTCTCCGAGTTTATTAGGAATGCCCTGAAACATATTTATTTAGTGCTGGGAGGTGAATGCAATAGTAAGTATCTAGTGCCGGTTTTTCTTGTATGTATCGTTTAAGCTTATCTGATAGACAACCCCCTGTGTGAATACGTTTGTTTCCTTGTAAATTAACTGTCAGGTCAGTTTTAGTGGGACAAGAAAGGTTGGCCCTCAATTTAATAATTTAGCTATGTGCGTCTTGTGGTAGTAAGTTACCTTAAGAACATAATGTTTATAACCAATTAATGTGAATAATTGAGGGAAGGAAAATTTTTTATACATCCTCCCTGATAGCAGAGGTCCCTTCCGCCAAGTTTTAAAATACAAACTTATGTAGATTTGCGATTACTAAACAACTTCATTTAACGGCAAGTGTGGTTATAACTTTATAAGCATACCTTACTGTCATGAGACTCACATTCATTGGCTGCCGAGTATGCAGGTTCTACTTAGCAATCATGTGTGCTAGTGCGTTACTACCCTAAAGTGTACTGATCTCATTGTTCAACAGATTAAGGACCTATCTTGTATATTTCATGTTTTATTTAATAGATGCAGGCACCTTATATGTGAATGCATTGGTGTCCTGGAAATGAAAGCAGAGTCCTAAACACTTCTGTACCTACAGTGTTAATAGTAATAGCCATTGACTTAAATCGTTATTTTTTTGTTATTTGCGAGTTTGCGACAATGTTGATTAAATTAGATCACTCACTAGTAGGCGAGGGACACTTTGTGACCGTAAGGCACAATCTTCAAATGATTATAACTTTTGTTGAAAACTGATTCTAAAAAACTGTTCGACAGTTTTGTTCCTTACTTCATCAAGGGTGTACACAACAAATTTCGTCCATTTTTGTTGTCCAGCCAAGAATTGCAGTGAAATTTGTTTTTGAATTTTCAAAAACTAATTTCAGATTCCTGATTATCATGTTCAAAAAGCCCCAGATACCACTTTTCGTCGAAATCAGAATTTTTTTCGCACGCCCATTTAATAGGGGTGCGCCCTTTCATTGTAGGAATTTTGAAAAATTGTTTGCAAAATTGGAAAAGGCATATCCGAAAACCTATTCAAAGATGTGGCACCAGTCTTTCTAACTCATATCGTTGCTGAGAAAAAAATTAAAGAAGAAATGCAAATTTCACGTGACACTTTTTGGGGGTGGTTCCCAAACAAAACAAGTTGGACTCTCGGTTTATTTGGAAAAAAAGCTTGTTTTGTTCCTCTCTAACGCTCTTACATACTTATATGTAACACTATGTATATCTATGTGTTAAGTACCTATTTTATTTAGTAGATGTCCTCCCAAGATTTCCCCAGATCTCGCGTTTGAATATACAATGTGTCCCAGATCGCGTGGGATTGCATGGGTAACTTTGTTATTATTAAAGATAGAGAATTGGTTAAATGGGCAATGTTTTGCAGTTTTAGATGCTCATTTAAAATTTCCTTTTAGAAATTCAAAATGTCGCATAGGTTCGACGTAAATTCAAAAAAACTAAAATTGGTCATTTCCTTGAATGTCTTATATCATCGAAAGTATAAGAGATATAAGTAAAAAAAGTTTTATATAAAAGTGACTGTCTTTGATATGCTTAATTTAGAATTGATGTCAAAAAAAAATTCAACATGACTACTTTTGAGGAACATTTACCAACTTCCTAAAGTTGCGCCATATGGGATTTTTAGATTACTTGATAGATTTTTTAATTCTCTTTTCAACAAGCCATCATAACATAAGATTGAAAATAAGATACCAGTTATATCAACGGTTTTTATATTTTAATCAAGTAGGCTGTGATGAATTAAAAAAAAACAAAACAAAATCAATTCGAGCCAACAAAACAATGAAAATAATTACATCAGATGTTTAAAATACTGGCCATTATTAGTGAAACACACTCCAAGATAGTTTAGTTTAGGCAACGTGTTGCAGAAAGTTTAGTTTAGGCAACGTGTTGCCATTGATGATTATTATTGTAGTGGTAGCTACTTCCACTTTACTTTTATTTTTTAATTAAATCCTTACTTTTATAATTTAATGTACTGACCTAACCATAAGGAAATTTTAAATAAGCATCCAAAACTGCAAAACATTGCCCATTTAACCAATTCTCTATCTTTAATAATAACAAAGTTACCCATGCAATCCCAGGCGATCTGGGACACACTGTATGTAATAGTATATCACTGAGCGCGGTCAGAAATCATAAGTAAGCAAGTTGTAGTACACATAAATCGAGACATAAATAGTATACCCACAAATTGCATGAGATGCTGACAATTTTTGCGGCTCGACCAAGAATTGCACCAACAATTTTTTTGTTTCGAGTTTTAAATGAGACTGTTATGCTCTCTCCCAATCAATTACGATGAAATTTTGCAGGTGGGTTTTTAATCAAATTTGTAGATTGAAGTTTGTGAATTGTGTAGGCCAAAAAATAAGAAAGGCCCTTTTGACATCTCCGTTAGTTATGAACCGAATTTCATGAAATTTTGTAGGCACCTCAAATGAAAGTAAAACTAATGCCGAATCAAACAAATTTGTTTTGCGCATGCGCAATCCGATTTTTTTATTTTTGAAGATATTTCAATAAAATTTGGGAAATGTGCTTTTTGTAAAATCATTTGCGATTATTTTTTAACTTGTCATCTCGGCCATTTACAAACAAAATTTCATGAAATTGAAACTGGCCCTAGCCAGTACCATATCAAATGTAATGTCAGCGCATTGGCACTTTTGATTATGTATTGTTAGGGTGGAAAAAATGCTTTCCAACCATACCAAATAGCATTACATTTAGGTTAGTAATTATCGTGCAAATCAAAAAATAAGGTAGGTAATATGATACATTTGAAATCTGTCGTATTTAAAACGCAACCGGCGAACATAGACGAACTAAGACAGATAATAATTCAAGAATGTCGAAATATTGCAAAACCAATATTATTGAAATAAAAGCCAATTTTAGAAAATGCATCATATTAGTTTATTTTTTGATTTGCACGATAATTACTAACCTAAATGTAATGCTATTTGGTATAGTTGAAAAGCATTTTTTCAGAGCTTTCCAACGACATATCACACATGGGGGGTCACTATTAAGATTTAAAAGTTGAGGTGGCTGGGGCGCAGGGGGTTGGAGGGGGTGCGTCGCCAACTATGTCATTGTGATTCCCCCTCGGAATTACCGAAACGGATTTTGATTTTTTTAAATATCTCGTTAATTTACTAAGACATGGGGGGGTGGTAAGTTTTCAAATTGCCACCCTGTATATGTATGGTGTGTCCTTTTTTGGTTGGGACTGCAGTGTATCTCGGCTGACATTAAAGATAGACTTGTGGTTTTCGCGACCATGTGCCACGTTATGGCTACATTTGTCTCTGAGATACAGGGGAAAACGAAAAGTTTGACCTTTTGGGCCATTATCATATCTTACTATCCATGTAAGATGGATAAAAGGTAAAAACTGCCTAATTTAGATATTTGTACGTAGAATCCAGTGGCATAGTCAAAAAAATGTGTTGGAAGACCGTTTCTGAGATATAACCCAAAGTTTGTATTTTTGAAATGCGTGCATTTATATATTTTTTTTTAATTTTAGCCATGAACCAAGAAAAAAAATTTCATTTTTTTACGGGTTTGAAATAGTAGGCCACGGACTTTTCGTCTTCACCCCGTATTTCAGAAACAAACGTAGCTAGATTGATTCTGTTTGTGGTATTAAAAGTTTCACAAAAAAGGGCACAGAGTCGCGAAAACCGCAAGCCTCTCTATCTTTAAAAACAGTTGAGAGACACTGCAGTCCCGATCAACATAACATGGTACAGTCTAAAAAAGGCTCAGCCCAAAAACTGAACATTTTCAAAAAATTGCATAATTCGATTTCTTTTTAAATATGGCACTTATTAAAAAAATATCGCAAAAGAAAGAATGGCATCGAATGTTATCTTTTTCCCATACTGCAAGGTTTTTGACTTTCTCTATTTTTTCTAATGCAAAGTTCGGTATACCTAAATAACTTCTATTGGTTGTTTTGTGATATTTTCAAAGATAATGATCTGGTTCTATCCCCTTAGGTCACAGTGTTAAATAATTGATTAATGAATGACAAGTTAACACCGACATAACGGTAGCTGTTTTTGGGATAAATTCTTTGCTTTCACTTCCTTGTCTGTCCTTTTTTAGATTACGGTACTTATGAACGTAGCTTGGAAAGATGCAAAAGTCACAAAGATCTCACATTTCACTTTTGACACCCAAAGGCAAAAGATTCCCTCTAAACAACGGCGTTACCTTTAAGAAAATTCGGCTATGCCATGTAGGAAACGATTGTTTTCCCAGCCGACACAGCATATTCTGTTATCTACATCCAAAAATTAAAATTTAAATTAATTGTACAATCTGTAATTGGTCTTAAAACTCAAATTAATTAAATGCGCTTCTTTTGAGACCCCAGGCGACTATGTGGAATGACGTTTACTGCAACCCATTTACTGTTCATTGTCCTTACTTAATTGGCCAGATTGAAATGTCTAAAATCGGTAGTTCAATTAACACCTATTGCTAATTGCAATTCCTCGGGTTGGTACACAGGTCGCTGCATGACCTTGTAGTCTTAATGCTCGTTTTAAATTAACATAGGAAACCAAAATAATTACTTAACGGAGCTGAAATTCTAAAATATTAATACGCCCTCGTCTTCTAAATGACAAGAGCTTTCGGACGCAACAAAAATAATAAATTATTGAAATATCTTGACGGGAACGGTTGCAAACGGCGGATTACCTTTAGCTTCTATCTTCAATTCCAAAAACCAACACAGTTACGTTTGGCACGACACTTTTCGTAACGAAGTGCCAAACTTAAAACGCTTCTAGATACCGGGTGCTCATATATGGAGGGTCACCAAAACTGGTGACTTGACGACAAAAAATAGGTGCTTTGTTACAACTGTATTTTCGTTACACAACAATAACAAGAGAAAGGAGAGAAAGGATAATGTTAACTGTCACGAAATTTGTCATCGCTGTAAAAAGTAGGTGGTACTAAAAGTCATAGTTTGTTAGATAGAAGGTGTGGTTTAATTTCAAGGTACAGAATCCTGTTATTCAATTACCAAGCCTTCTTCATATTCAAAATATCTTGCTCCCGTCCTAAAGATGCATTTTTTTTACAGAATTACCATCATATGTGCAAGTGCATCAGCTATGGGCGGAAAACTCTCATTTAACTGAAATATTTAATAATATTAAAAACATTATAGAATCTCCTGTCACCGCGATAAAAGGCAGTGCTGTTTTAAATAATCACAAAATTGTAATTGAAGCAAATCAAAAATTTTACTCAAACTCCAGCACAGCGAAAGGTAAATTTATTTCCCCATGAAATCATTATGAATCAATCTTTAGTTACAGAAGATCCATTTGATGTCCTTTTGATGACGCCTACAGCAAATACATTTTTCAAAAAACCAAGACCGTCTGCTAGTAAAGTATATCATGCTAAAAGGAGTGAAAAGGAATACACAAAACCTCGGAATACGGGCACTGTGCTACAGTTTGAAAACGAATCACATAGGACAGACATTTTACATTGGCTTGAGGACAGCAACAACCGTTTCGATTGCAAGGTATTTACGCAAACTCAACAAATTGTCCCGGATATCCCTGACTTTGATATGCCTTCGGCTTCTCAAGCGGTTAACTTTATGAATCCAAAATTTAACAGCACCAACAGTACGGAACTAAAACGTCAGAAAGACATGCAAAACGAATCTAGGGTAAAATCCAATATGTTAGTTCGATTAAGTCGACCTGTGCAATTTGTTAGTAATAAGGTTGAGCGACCTGAGAAACGCACACGGTCTTTAGAACACAATGTGACCACCTCAATTGCGAATACACGCCCGAAGCGGCATAGTTTACATGTATGTAGTCAAGATGAGGAAATTGTAATTGATCAGTTTGATAGCGAGAAAGATGCTCTACCGACAGATAATCCGCAGAAGGTGGCTCTTGTAAATTTAATGGAGAACGAGTATATCAACGCAATTGACAATGAGGTGCGTGCGTTGAAGACGGTGGATAAACGCAAAAGATCTTTGCGAAATTCTAATGAGAAGGTCGACAGCAATTTAAATGTTTCTCGTGGTTGGAATAGATTGAAAGCGGTTAAGAAAACCTTTGCCCAAACCGAAAAGAAGTCTTCCAAATTAAAGGTGGTGGTTGGAAATGCGGTCAATCAATCACAGAACAATTTGCGATCGAAAACCAAGAAGACTCCAGCGAAAACTGTTAAACCGGTTGAGTCACCCGTGAAGCAGAAACCTAAAAGTTATCCTTTAAATGAAATTGAACTTTACTTCAATTCTAAATTGCTGAATGATGAAGATCACGTGAAGGTCAATGACGAAATTCTGCAAACCACGCCCAAGAAGCATATGAGCGAGGAAGAACGGATCGAAGACAAAATCACAGTTGCCCAAAGTGGTGACAGTGGCAAGGTGGCACAACGAAATACTGAGCGGGCTAGCAGTGGTGGGGGAATGGAGAAAAATGAGAGTATATCTCACCCTGAGAGTATTAGAGATTTTATGGGGGAGCATCGTGTTGCAAAGTTAACTCAGGTTAAAAATGATACAAAAGAACACAACCGTCCAAGTTTTGAAGTAGTTGTAACGAAAGCGGTTATAGAAAATCAACATCTGCAAGAATCACATCCGATTGAAAAATCTGTGCATTGCACTCCCGCTCCCATTGCGGAAGATAAGTGTAAGGTGCAGCAAATCGATTGTGAAGAATTCATATCAAACACTCATCCATCCCAGACAATATCTACAAATGAACTACTCCGTGAAATTGACAACGATTTCATTTTTGCCTTACCTACTCCAACAATTACGAATAGCAGTATAATAAACCAGTTAGGTAGAAAGTTATCATCAATCAGTGATATTGTTAATGACCATCGTGACGATCCCGCACCACTGATGTACCAAATAAGGCAAATACTGAATGGAGCGCCGTTGCAACCACCTCCCGCGCCAGAAATGAAGAACACACACGTACAAACGGCAGTTAGTGTGGACGATACCTGTACCGTTGGCACACAATTTCCTGGTTTTCACTGCAAAGATATTGGTATACAAACGGATTCCTTCGATACTTCACATGGCTTTAGAATTTCATCAACGGAAATGTTCAATTTACAGCCGGTCGTTTCTTCTGCCATTCAAACTGATCCACTCGTTTGCGTGCATTGCAATCGCGAGGCGACAGGTGCATTTGAAGAAAATAACGCGCAAAGGTATGAGTTCTCGGCTAGTTTCGATAATCTCAACTTCGATACTCAAGATATCGTCTTGGGTCAGCAATTTGCTATGAGAAAAGGTACCCAGAATTCGAACTCCGCCGCGCAGTCGCAAGCGTCGAAAAATTTCAAGAGAATTCGACAGCCAAGTTCTGGTAGCGAGTCTGATAATGAGAAGGTTAAAGCGAATACTACCAAGAAGAATAAAATCGAGCATGCAAGTACAATTCAATTACTCATCGACACGAAAGCTAAGCTTAGAAGAGATTCTCCAGGAATTCGAATGGAAAATAACGATGTTTCAATTAAGCACGACAGTGCAGTTCAGTTGCTCATCGACAGAGAGGCCGAGCTTCGAAGATGTTTTCCGGAAATTGTATTGGAAGATAATGATCTTTCCCTTGAGTTTCTTTCTGATTTTAATATGAATGTTAGAGAAGAATCTCAGAAGGGTAACAACAAAGGACCTGTGGAACCTGAGGTATGTGTAATGTGTAATTCTTTAGTTGCATGTCAAGAGTGGGAACAGTGCCCCATACTGTTTCTGCACTTAATGTACAAGCACTTTGTGTCATTTAAATTTTATAGTTTTATTTTGCATTTTTGTGTGGATTGTGGTACAGTGATTACTTTAATGTACAAGGTGTATGAAAGAGGGCCTCAGTTGTCAAGAATTTTAAAAGTGACCGAATGTATAAACCTTTAATTATAAATTACCACTTTGCGCTATACCGTTCTTCAAGGTGGATCTACAGAAGGAATATTGTTTTTTATCTCATTTTTATTACATAAGAAAGACAAAGACTTAAATTCATTCTAGCAAATAATCAGACAATAATGCTCGACAGCTCAACTGAGTCATCACCAGAGTTGGACTGGGTCAAGCATAGAGTGACCCGGTGACCCAGTTAGTTTACTGATCCGGTGACCAGTTGACCCGGTGACCCAGTTGACCCGGTGACCCAGCTTGACCCGGTGACCCAACTTAACCCAGTGGCCCAGCTTTACTCGGTGACCCATCTTGACCCGGTGGCCCAGTTTAAATCGTTGACCCCTAGGTTGATCCAGTTGAATCCGGTGACCCAGTAATTAAATTATTGTTAGGTATCAAGTATTTAGAGGAAAGATTTATTTGGATTAAGCTAACTATTAGAAAAAAATTAAATGTGAATGAACACCTGTAAGCAAACTGGTAAGCCCTGAACCAAAGAAATGAAGGAGGGAACTGT